GAATACAGGTGACTATACTTTGCATGCCCTTGACTCTAAATTATTAAAAGTCACAAGGATTCTCTGGTCCACATCTAATACTTCAAATGTTTGAAGCAGACAAATACATTGAGTTTTCTTTTAGAGACCAGGAAATCCTTGTTTTCCTGAGGTAAAAGAAAATATGCCAAATCAGACTGCTGAATCCTGTCTCCACTACAAAGAAGAAAAAAATATTATGATATAGGATGACCAGGATGCCGGTGTACTTGACCATGTTACTCTTTGATTTGATGCCTTTTAATTAAATTTAAATTGATTGAGCAGTTTCAGCAATGAATTCTCAATTCTCATGTGTGATTCTGAAAATGCCAGAATCTGGCTAAATTAATACTGCACACTTACCTGTCAATAGCAACTCCTGGTGAAAAACCACACATCGAGGAGACCGAGCTGATTGTCCCACTGCAGTAGCTAAAAGGAAAAGCAAGGGGCTTTCCAGTGGCAGTGCCTACGAGCCCTATCTCACTAGAGTGCCTGTCCATCGTTCCCTAGCACATCAAGAGCATCTACCCAGGGTGAACCCAAGCATATTTTTAAAAATATGCTGTGTCCTTCTTCCCAACTCTCCACCCCCAAGAAAATAAAATGAAGGAGGGCTACAGTTCATCAAACCTGGATGAACAGGGTGACAGGGCCACTATCCTGGTCAATTCACAGACCAAAAAAAAAAAAAAAAAAAACCAAAAACAACAACAAAAAAAACACCCTTCCATTGGGAAAGTGCACTCAACTTTATTTTAAATATGCTCTGTGAGTGAGTGGGCTTACCATCTGCGGTGAGTGCCTTCCCAGTGCCAGGAGCAGCAGGCCAAGTGTCAGCATGGGGGTTGAGAAAAGGCAAGCGCCCTAGACAGTCTGCTCACTGAGGGCAACGCTGGACATCACGCACCCCCCTGTGCCGGGTACAGCAAGTCCACATCACAATGGTGAAGAGGCAGGGAAGCCTCTTCCTCATGCAGCTTAGCATCCTGAAGGGGGTGACCAAGATCTGCGGACAGCAGTGAAAGTGCCTCCAGGCAGAGAGGATGAAGGTGTGCTGTCAGAAAGCACCAGGGAGGAGGAGGTCTGGGAGTAGCTGGGGCGAGTGCAGAACTGATGGGGTCCAGGGTGGCAAATTGTTTGTGTGGTTGAGGGACTGCAAGTGGCCAGTGTGATCCAGAAAACAAGGGAAAAGAGGCCACAAACCTGACCACTGGACCTGGAAGAGTCTCTGGATTTGGGAGGGTGGGAAGTAAGGAAGGAGAGCAAAGCCATGGGACCTGAGATGGGGTTGAAGACCACACTGATTCCCAGGTGGGTCTAGAGCAGAAAAGTTGGGTGGGAAGGGCCTGTTGAGGCCTGGCTTGTCTACTAGTCACCAGAAGCACATACTAAGGGCAGTCCTGGTGTGGCTGAGGGCACTCCTCCCAGGGCGGAGTGGCCACTTTTATGCCCTGGCCCAGCACCTGATACTTGCCTCATAGTGCCCTGTGTCTCATCAGAAGAGACTATCAACATGGAACTGCAGGCTGGCAGGCAGGAGTCACATGAGGCCCCGGAGATGCCCTGGCTTACTGAAGGTCACAGAGCAGTGGCTGTCTGCGTTTGAAACACACCCACTACCATGCCTCATTCAGAAGTGTCCCTACCCACACTTCAAAATCTCTGTACTCCTTCCAGAAATATGGGACCTTGGTGGGGGGAAGGGAGGACAGCTGCTGAGGCTGCAAGCTAGTTGTCCTATCTCCTCACAGCAGAGTTCCGAGAGGTCAGGGACCGTGTCCCTCCATCCATCCCAGAGCCCAGCCGTCTGGCGACTCAGCAGATAGTGAATGTTGACGATGCTGCTGGGTTTCAGGATGTCCTATAACTCACTGTTTCACTAACTCAAGGACACAGTGGAAACCACACACCGGATTTTTAAAAAGCAAACAAACTGAAAAGCAATTAGAACAGACAAAACACAAATATTTAAAGACTGAGACCTTAAGTGATGGCTACCTTGAAGTTGCATCTCAATTTCCTCTTCAGACCCCAGGGTCCCTGCAAGGCGGTGACTAGACTTGTCACAGGACACACAGCAATGGCTTCCACCTCTTGGGCAGGTCAGCACTACTTCTCCTTGGCTGCCCAAAGGACTTAGGCAGTGAGGTTTTAAACTTGACTAAAATGCATATTTTGATTTACTCAAGAAACCCAAACAGGCCTCTGGCAAATAATAACTGTATGAGAATATTTCATTTAGCACCTTCCTCTTTCACTCCCTTTAGGGAAAAGACTGCTGCACTCAAAATGAGGGGGAGGAAAAATTAAATAAAAGATACATTCCAGTAAAAGCCACAGAGCAGGGAAGAGAGGCACACATTTCTGAGCCAACTTCTAAACTCGTGCTGTTCAGATTTGCCTTTGAAACAATTTCCCTGTGCCTTCTGCTGCTTAAACAGTAATTATTAAAGGCATCAATTAAAAGCGCCCAACTCCACCATTCCATGGCCCAGGTCCCTGGCATGTCTCCCACCCTGCCTGCCACACCTGCTACCACCCTCACTGGCTGTGAAAGTGGGTAGGAGTGGTCCAGAATGCAGACTCCTCTGTGTTTTCCTGGGCTGCTTTATTTAAGATCAGAGGGATGGCTGCTGCCCACTGTCCTTCCAGCAAGGAAGAAGAGGCAAACATGACAGAAGCCTTCTTTGCCCTAATTGGCATCAGTAGGTAGCTCAGGCACAACAAATGCACTGGGCATGGAACACACATTTCTTCATTAGGAGGCCAGAATTGCCTTCTGTGAGTCCCTTGGCAGAGGGTTCTCCGCAGGAAGAGGGTCATGGGAAACTCCACTGTAGGGCCATTGGACACGAGAGGGAATCCCTCTTAGCATCACATGTGGAAATCTTCCAGGTCACAGTGATTCCTACTGCTTGTCAGAAGAGTGTGTGGGCAACCTGGAGGCTTACGACCCCAGGCAGTGCTGGGTTTCTGCAGCCAGAGCCTACATATGTGTGTGGCAGTGCCCCTTGGGGGTTCTGCAAGAACAGGGGAAGGCTCAGGCACAGAACAAGCAGGAGGCTTGCAGGGAGGATGCAGCAGTGCTTCCCCCAGGCTCCCCCAGCAGTGACTGCACCTTTGCAAGCCTGTACTGAGCACCCTGCATTGGCCCCAAAGATGCAAGCAAGACCCAGGTTCTGTCCCTGAGGAGCACATATGAAGACAAACACATGCACAAGTTAATGAAGATGTGAGGCATCACACAAACCCAAACTGCTCACTCTGCCAGGGGATATGGATAGAATAGAAAGCAATGAGAAATTAATTGAAACTTGAATGTGGTCTTGTTAGCTGGTGCAAAAGGGACAAGGCACTGCATGGACAAAGGGTCCACTGTCATCTGAGGAGTAGACGCTTATCCTGAAGAGCAGGGTAACCAAGGCAGAAGGGATTCATAAAGAAAGGAGGAAAACAAGGAAAGCCAAGAAGAGTAAGGGAAGTTAGGGCCCAAGCCTGGGCAGTGGGGGTGGAGCAGAAAAGACAGAGCACAACGTTCACAGGACAGTCTATAATCTCTTTCCACCTACCCCAGAAAATGAAAAGGGCATCCCTTAGCCTAGGGCCACTACCTCACGTGACACCTGAACTAGGCAAAGAACCTTCAGAGGAACCTGACTCTGGGGACACCCACATTGAGCTGCAAGTGCTCAATGTGAAATATCAACCAAGGTCTGAAACCCAGGAGAGACTCGGGGCCCAGAGAGACAGCCAGTGAAACAGAAACTGCAGCCAGAGAGGGCGAGATAGTCGAGCACCCTCAGCAAGAGAGAAGAGGCTGAGGACGCAAAGTTGGCATCAGCCACTCCAAAGGGGGCCAGGAAATGAGGGGTGCAGAGGGAGAGGGGCAGATGGACAGTAGTGGAAATGAGGGAGAGAAAAATCTTCTTGAAAGAAAAGGACAGCTCCATCAACAAATACTGAAGAGAAGCCAGGAAAGATAAGGGCTAAAAACAGGTCATGGATTAAGTAGTGTTCCCAGTGAATTCTAAAATGAGAAGTTTATATTTAATGCGGGGAGGGAGGCAACTGCCTTAGGGAAAGAATGGGAAGGGAAATGGAGAGATCACCAAACCCTAAAGGTTTGAGAGAAAGTGCACATGAGAACTGCAGCACATCTGTGAACAGAGGGGAAGGAGCACATAGTGGGGACTCAGGAGAGTCAGTGTTCAGGAATCATCTTCAGATGGTGCTGAGAGGAAAGGCCACATCAAGAACCATGAGGTTTAAATTAAGCTGGGGCCAGGGCCTCCTTTCCAACCCCTTGTCCACATCATTGCTCCTCAATCACCCACTCCCTTGATCCATATGCTGAATTCCAGCCATATTAGCATCTAGAAGGGGTTGCCCTTAAGACTAACACAAACAGCCAAGTCCTTGCAACACTGGGTTCTACAAATGGTGAACTGATAATAAGGGCAGGTTCTAATGGACCCAGAGTAGAGATGGCTTACTTACCCTTTCCTTGTTCTGAAGGTCTGGGCCATGACAATCAAAAGTTGAGCTCTCCTCTTGCCTCAGCAGAACGGGGTCAATGCCAACAAGACATACCACACAGTCTTGGGTTACATCCAAAGTACATAACAATGACCATATTAAATGGTTAAAGGAATTTAGGATTCAGTAAAATATCTGTAAGAGTGTTAAAGAGGGATGGGGATGTAGCTCAGTGGTAGAACAGCTGCCTGGTATGTGGGAGGCCCTGGGTTCCATCCCCAGCAGCACACACACACAGCTTTTAAGATATTTTTATTTAAGTATAACTAAAAAACATCAAAATGTACAGATCTTAATCTGGGCAATAGTTTTAGTATGCATTACCACCCAAAATGGGACTCAGTGCATTTCCACCACCATAGAAACTGCCTTGCTTCTCAACTCACCTCCTTATAATCAAGAAACCAGTTAGTCACCATGGATTGGTTTCGTCTGTTCCTGGATTCTACTAAATGCACTCACACAATATGTACTTCTTTGAGCTCCATCCATATGGTTTTATTTGTCATTCATTCTTTTTATTAACTTTTCAGTTGATGGACATTTGGGCTGTTCCCAGTTTGGGGCTTCATATACACATTCTAATAAGTCATTTTGTGAACATATATTTTCATTTCTCTATGGTAAATTAAAAGTAGGATTACTGGATCATAGCGTAGATCACGTTTAATTATAGGGGGGAAATGGACAACAGACCTCCAAAGAGGCTGCACCACTCAACATCCACCAGTGCCTATGAGGGCTACGCTGCGCCAAGGTCTAGTTGATGTTCAATGCTGGTGGTCTTGCTCATCTCAGACTTTCTAACAGAGTGCACCTCACTGTGGTTTCAATCTGCAGTTCCCTGACAAGTGAAGATGTGGAGCACCTCCCCACCTTCCATGTCATCTGTGGAATCTTCYTTTGAGTCCCCTGTTCAAACTGCTTAGATCCACACATTCAAAAATTCATAATTTGTGTACCCACTACCACAACCAAGATATAGAACATTTCCACCAACCCCAGAAAGTTCCTTGTGCCCTTTGTTGGTTAACTCATCCTCACCCCAGGCCCTGGCAACCACCAACCCATTTTCTTTCCATCTTGGTTTGGCCTTTTGAAGAATGTCATATGTWTGGAAGCAGACACTTTTCAGTGTTTTCTGATTTCTTTTTACTGTGCATGGGGTGTTCGAGATACACCCATGCTGTACTGGTTCGTTCCTTTCTACTGCTGAGTAGTATCTCAATGCAGGTGCTTTTTCATTCACCAGTTGAATGACATCTGGGTTGTTTGCAGCTCCTGGAGATCATGAGCCGAGCCACTGTAAACATTCACATACAAATTTTTATATGCACTTATTCAGCTGGGTAATACCTAGAAAGTGGGACTGCAGGGTCATGTTAGAAATACAGATTTAATAGATTGTTTTTCAAATGCAGTTTATAAGAATCTGTCAGTCTTCATTTCAAAGTGGCTGCACCACTCTGCATTCCTACAAGCAAGTTTCATTTGCTCCACAGGTTCACTAGTACTCAGTTGTTTTTTTTTTAATAGCTTTGTTTATTTATTTTTATGTGGTGCTTAGGATCGAACCCAGTCCCTCACATGTATGAGGCAAGTGCTCTGCCACTAAGCCACAACCCCAGCCCCGGCAGTCAGCATTAACAGCATTTCCCATTTTTTGTTTTGGCTGGAAGACATCCTAGTAAATATGTACTTCACTGTGGTTTTAGTTTCATTTCTCTGATGACTAATGATATTGAACATCTTTCATGTGCTTAGTTGCCATCTGTATATCTTAAAATGTCTATTTAAATCTGCCTGTTTTTAAATTGGGTTTTACATATTATTGAGTCTTAAGAGTTCATCCTATATTTCTGGATATAAGAATTTGTATGTGTGTATATGTGTGTGTGTGTGTGTGTGTGTGTGTTTGTGTGTACATATGCTTTGCAAAGATTCCTCCCAGTCTGTGGCTTGTCTTTTCACTATCGTAACACTTCTTTTTTTGTTTGTTTTTGTTTTTTGTAGCTGCAGATGTAAAAAATGCTTTTATTTATTTTTTTATTTTATTTATTTATTTATTTTATTTATTTTTTTAATGTGGTGCTGAGGATTGAACCCTGTGCCTCACACGTGCTAGGCAAGTGCTCCACCACTGAGCCACAATCCCAGCCCCATAACACTTTCTTCTAAAGAATAAATCATTAAATCTTATGAAGTCTGACATCCATCTTTTCTCTTAAGGATGGCGCTTTTGGTGCCATATCTAAGAAATCATTTCCTAACCTAARGTCATAAAAACTTTCTCCTGTGGGTTTCTCCCCCCCACCCCCAGCCAGAAGTTTCATGATTTTAGAATTTAAACTTAGGTCTATGATCTACTTTGAGTTAGTTGAGTTAGTTTCTGTATACAGTATGAAGTACCGTTTTTTTTTTTCTTTTTGCATTTGGATATCCTGTTATTCCATTACAATTTATTGAAAAGACTATCCTTTCTTTTGAATGGCCTCTGTACCTTTGTCAAAAATCAATTGGCCATCTATCTATGTGTGGGTCTATTTCTGGACTCCTCTATTCTGTCACATTGATCTACCTATATGTCTATCCCTGTGCAATACCACACTGTCTTGATTACTGTAGCTTGATAGGAAGTCTTGAAATCAAGCAGTGCAATCTTTTAGCTTTGTTCTTTATCGGAATTGATTTTTCCCCCTAGGTCCCCTGCATTTCCTTATGAACTTTACAATTAGCTTGTCTAAATTTTGACTAGGATGGCACTGAATTCACAAACGAATTTAGGGAAAACAGGCATCTTGACAATATTTAGTCTTCTAATACATACATCCTCCACTTCTATAGATCTCAAGCTTCTCTTAGTGAAAGACCTACCTTTGTATAGGCCTTTAATAGGTATTTAATGTTTTTTAAGCTATAGCAAATGATACTGATTTGTAAGTTGCATCTTCCGATTGTTGATTGCTGACATACAACTGATTTATCTTATATCCTTTGCTGACATACAACTGATTTATCTTATATCCTTGCTGAATTCACATATTCTCATAGATTGTTTAAATAGTTTTCATAATCATGATTTTTACAAATAAAGGTTAAATTCTGAGTTGGATACATTTAACTGTCAAAAGGTAGGTGCTTTTCAATGATTAGAAAGTGTCCAAGAGTCCAAAAAAAAAAAAACCCTTGGAGAAAATTCACCCTAACTGTACAAGCTGAAATAGCAAGATCTGACCTCGAGAGTTTTATTTCTGGGCTAGGGTTGTGGCTCAGTGGTGGAACGCTCACCTGGCATGCATGAGGCACTCGGTTCGATCCTCAGCACCACATAAATGTAAAATAAAGATATTGTGTCCACCTAAAACTAAAAAGAAAATAAATAAATAAAAGTGTTTTATTTCCTCTTCCTGTTGGATTAGCACTCTTAAAACAGATGAAGAGAGGGATTTCACTGATGGCAAAAGAACACCATCAACAAGGAGCCTGGTGGTCATCATCACCTGCTAACACCCCACTTCTTTTCCCCAAGCAGCGGCAGCTGCAAGCAAGGTGACCACCCGCACATCTGGAAGGGAAAATGCGGGTGTCACAGCCCCTCCCCACCCTCTCTTCCCAGGTGCACACTAGCTTGTGGTACTGTGCGCTCTCTCCACACTGTGAAGGAACTTTGGATTTCAAAGAGCTCTTAACTGTCTTTTAAAGAGCTCCAGGAAGTGGGCTATTAATAGCATTTTCCCACCAGCAGAGGCCCGTGAAAGGTCTCCATTATTGGCAACCAGCCCTCCAACATGGACAAACACACAGTAGTATTTGAAATGTAAAACCAAAGACCTTTGTTTAACAAGGAGGCAACACCAAATTCACCAGGCTTTTGGCTCAATTACTTAAGTTCACAAACAAGACATATTATCAGATGAAAGACCCGAGTTTAAAATGTATTTCTGCCACGGTTTGCTTTCCATCCTCCAATGTTATATGACTTGACTAAGGTCCTCACTCACATTCTGTGGTATCAACTGCTAGGACTTGTTGGAAGTTAATTACTGCCTCCATCACAGAAGTCAAATAATTATTTATCATGCTATTGTTTTTGCCCAGTGGCTTCAGACACAACTTCTTTATTATGAGGCAGTGAAACTATATCAGTGTGTACATGTCTTATACATATAATTTTTTAACAGAGAAATAACTCTTAAGCATTCCACTGCCATTCTATCAAATATGAGGCAAGTGATTGTTGAGTTCCCAATTATGTTCAACCTTAAATCACACTGTTTGGTCTGATTGTAGATCCAATCCTACAGGGAGCTGTGCAAAGGCATATATTTGGCAAGCTTTCAAACCACAGCAACAAAACATGTGCTGAGGAAAATGATTCAAAACATTGCGAAAGCAGCCATTTATTCTAGAAAGGCTGTTCACGTGAGACAATAAGCTGCTTCCCAGAAGAGGCGCCATCCATCAGGAAACACCATCACCCAGCACACACTGGCTGGAGTCTGCCTCTCAGCCACCACAGGGCTGAGATGACTGTTTATCATCCACAGTGCATCAAGATGGATAAGCAGGCTGGGCACACCTCCACGATGGTGCAGAGCCATCAGGGGCTGCAAACCTTCCCCATTCTGGAGAAGTGCCCAAAATACAGGTAACCCCCAAACCCTGGGGACCTGCATGATTTTCCCCAAAGATCCACATGTCATGGACATGAGGGCACACAAAGGTGATGGAAGACAGGGGTATCCTGGTGCTGTGTCTAGTATTTGAAATGTAAAAACCACTTCTACATTAAAAAATAATACTTCAGCCAGGCATGGTGGTACACGCCTGTAATCCCAATGGCTTGGGAGGCTAAGGCAAGAGGATCATGAGTTCAAAGCCAGCCTCAGCAAAATCGAGACGCTAAGCAACTCATAGAGACCCAGTCTCTAAATAAAATACAAAACAGGGCTTGGGATGGGATGTAGCTCAATGGTTGAGCACCTCAGAGTTCAATCCCTGGTACACCCTCCCTCCCAAAAAAAGATAAAAAAATAAAACCAAACAAAACCAACCAGGGATCCACATCAACCAGGGGCCTGTTTAGAGGTCTGGACATGATGAGAGACTCGGAGTCCTTTCAGTAATCAGGCCTGCTAGACCAGCTGGCTCAGCCAGTTGGACACAAAGGAAACTCCTCTGAGAGAAGGCTCAGGGAAAGCCCTTTCCAGAACATCCCCTGGAAACCATCTGCACCATCCTGATGGGTCATATCCACTGTCCCTCACCGCATCATGAACTTAAATCTGTCGGCCTGGAAGACAGAATTTATTACCTTCTCCTTCCATCACTAAACCTGAGGAATAGGCAGCAGATGTATCTTTTTAAGTTGTATGTAATAATTAATTTCCCCTAAATCAGGAGATGTTAAACTTTTAACAACTGTTGAAGCTCCTCAACCAACTTTAAGAAACATTTAATTGGCAAACCATGGTACCAAAACAAGGAATGTGAAACTGGAGATCAACACTGAACCACTGGAATCCCAACTGTCCTGAGGTAACAAATTCAGATTCATGGAGTTTTTCAGATATGACTAAATGAAGCATTTGTAAGAGTGAGGAAAATTATAAACTATTGGTTAGCCAGAAACTTCTGYAAATAGCCACAGAAAGACAAGACAGAAAAAGAAAACCAAGCTGTTTGTGGGCAGGAAATTATTTTAGCTCTTTTACACTTAGGAAAAGAGAAATAATCAATATTAAGTGGGTACTTTTCCCTTACTAACAGTCAAGGACAGTTAAATGCAACCACTTTGTCCACGTAGACATGCCAGTCTCACCTCTTTAGGTTTGACTAGAGGGCTCAGAGTGTGATGATTCCTAAACATTTACATCACAACTACATAAATGGAATGTGTGTCAAACACAATGTCAAATGTACTGTATACACTAATTTCTAATAATGCAGTTGGGAAGGTCACTGTCCTTTGAATAACTCACCAGGATTGCTGGCTGCCAGCAGCCAGTATATACACTTAGAACATTCACCTGACCAGTCCACTATGTTAACTCYAAATGTAATCAACTAAGGGTCAAATCAGAAAATCGACGCAACCTGGTGGTGTGAGTAGGTGGTTCTCCAAGTGTCAGCTGTAAGAGTGGCTTCAAGTACTGGCAGGCTCAGTCAGCCGGAACTAAATAGGACACCAATGACTGGCAAGTAATTCCAGCTCTTCTCCCCACCCCCAGCTGACCTTAAAAACAGTAGCTTACCATCATAGGAAGGCAACCTGCTGAGGTCGCCCATTTCTTGTATACTAGA